TCCCACCCCCACCCCCAAATATAATCCACTCTGCAACCCTCATTGCATACTCCTACGATAAACATAATGCCCTAAAATACAATACTTTTTTTTTAATGGAAGAAAACAAAATGGAGAAGTCAGTCTTTTTATTTTGTTCTGAAACAGAGCCTTCAAACGAGGTGTTTGGACCATGGTGGTGGTGTTTAGTGATGTCTGGCTGAGAGTGACTCATACTCTAGGAACAGCTATTCTGAACCCTGCCCTGTCCTGTGCCATCTTCATCATCTCTGAGACATTAGAGCCCATTGCTGAAGTCATAGTGTCAACCCATCTCATCGGGGACCTTCCTCTCCTTCAGTGACCCTCCACCTTTCCAAGCATGATGTCCCAATCTAAGGAATAGTCTCGCCGAGCTACATGTACAAAACATGAAAGATGAAGCTTAGCCAGCCTTGCCTCCAAAGTACACTCTGGCTGCACCCTTTCCAGGACATATCTGTTTGGTTTTTTTGGCAGTTCATGTATATTCAAGAACATCATGCTTGGAAGGGTGGAGGGACAGTGCAGGAGAGGAAAACCCCAGATGAGATGGACTGAGACAGTAACTGAGGTGATGTGGATAGGTGTGCTCGAGTCCGAGACTGGCTGAGGTCAGGGCAGGCTTCAGGGCTGCTGTACGGAGGGTAGGCTCTGAGTTGCAGGTGCCTCAACAGAACATAACGACGACGACGACGACATGGGATAGTCAGTACTCGTCTCCAGCACCACAACTCAAAGGTACTAACTCTTCTGTCATCTTTATTCATTGTCCAGCCTTCGGATGCATAGCAGGTGACTGAGAAGCCCATGGACTGAATCAGGCACACCTTAACCTTCAAACTGACATTATTGCTCTTCAATATTTTGGAGAGGTCCCTGACTGAAGACTTGCCCAATGCAATACATCTCCTGATTTCCTCACTGCTGGTACCAGAGGTGTTGATTGCTGCTGCAAGCAAGATGAAATCATTGACAGCTTCAATCTTTTCTCCATCTAGCGTGTGGGCCACAGAGAGGGGGTAAACTTTAAGGTTAGACAGCATCACGATACAAGGGATGAGAGAAACATTTTGGTCAAATGTAGATAAGCTAAGTATCTACCATGTGACCATCCAGAAGTCCTAGATGGTGTGAATGGTCATTTTCTTTGTTTTCTGAGTCTCCTTTTATGTCCTTGCCGCCCTTTTGTGGGAAAGGCAGAGGAGACAGAGAGCGCGACAGTCTGAACATTTATGTGCCCTGTGGCTGCCAAGCATGCCTTTCCTCTCCTCTGTCCTGTGGGTTCCCGCTCCCTTGAACTCGGTCTTCCACTGTTTGTGCTGATGCTGCAGGAGGCACGAGACCACAGAGCCTGCAGACGTGCATCCTCTGCGGGTTTGATTTCCTGAGCAAGAACAGCAGAGGCCCACCACGTGGAGCAGCCCCGGCCCTCGTGCTTTATGAACTGGTTCTCCAACACTAAGTATTAGCCAAGGTGGTTTGGAGAGTTTTCCTACACTAAAATCGGGCCAGGATTCTTCTGGTTTCTGGATGAACGGAGTTCTACCCTGAAGCCTGAGACAAGTATTCTTTTTTTTTTTCTGGATATACGTCAATTTGATTCTGTTCAACCCAGCAAGCTTTTTGGTACTCAAAAAGTACAAAGAAAGAAAACACTGAAAATAATTTCTAATTTGTGACATTATGCTCATTACTCAACTCAACCTTTGAAAAGATCTAGTCAAACTCAGCCCCAACTTCAGAGAAAAGCCGTTGCTTCTAATTCATGGCACCAACTGATTTTTCAAGGACAGTTTTGAACTTTTGGGTCAGAAGCAGAGAAACAAAAATCTTTGATCAGAAAATGGAAAGTATATTTGCAAAGAACTTAATCTACATGTTATTCTTAAAACTTTACTTCAAATACATCATGGAATAAAATGCCACCGAGCTTCTTGCCCCATCTCGATTCCCCTTGCTCTCTGTCACAGGGCCCCCAAAGGAAGACCTACAGCAGCTCTAGTCTGAGACTGTATCTTTCCAACAACCTCCACTGCTACCAAGGGCGAGTCTTCCTACATAAACACTAAGGGTACCTCAGAAGAGGCCCACATCTAACTCAAGAACAGACCAGAACCAAGTATGATCTCTTCTAAAGTCTTCAGACTGTACCTGCCCTGAGATGTGACTTGATCTCAGAAAGAAAGTCCTACGTTCTTAGAGTAGCAGGTGGGAACCATTTTATGCTCTGAATCTAAGAACTGGTAGCAATAGTGAACTTTAATACATAGTGATTGTTATTTAAAAGTTGCATTCCCAACCCCCAGCAGATTCTATAAACAAAGTGTTTAAAATTCATTTCTTTACCCAAGGTTTTAAACACATTCTATTCTATCAAGTAGTCCTGATAGAATATTGGCTAAAACGTTCAGTTGCTGACCAAAAGGTGGGCAGACGGAACCCACCAGCTACTGTGCAGAAAGAAAATGAGGCCGTTCGATTCCTTAAAAGACTATTGTGAGGAGCCACTGAGTCTAGTATGGCCCACAGCGACCCTATGAACAGATCTGAACTCTGTCCTATCCTGAACCATCCTCACCATCTATGACATACTCAAGTTCATTGCTGCAGTCACTGTGCCAATCCATCTCAGTGAAAGTCTTCCTCTCTTCTGCTGTCTCTCCACCATTCCAAGCATAATGCTCTCTTCAAGGAACAGCCCCTCCTCGCAAGATGCCCAAAGTGTGAGAGACAAAGCTTTATCACCTTTGCCTCCAAGGTGCCTTCTCTGGCTGCATTTTCTTCAAGACATAGTTGTTCTTTTGGAAGCCCAATAGGATATTCAGTACTCTTCTCCAACACCACAGCTTAAAGGGATCAATTCTTCTGTCATTCTTTTTTTTTTAATGGTTTTCCTGGTCGTGTGTGTGTGTGTGTGTGTGTGTGTGTGTGTGTGTGTACTGTCGAATCAGCTCTGACTGGCACAGGAGGAGATTGCCCCTCTTTCTCCAATGGCGCATCTGGTGGATTCTAACTGCGTGCCTTCAGGATTGCATCTTCTGTCATTCTTATTCATTATTTGGTTCTCTCAGATGCCTGGGGTAATGGGGTAGGTGTGTTGGAGACAGTGCGATTGGCACAGGATAGGGCAGAGTTTAGAGCTGTTGTACATAGAGGGTCACTATGAGTCACAGGCGACTTGACGGCACATAACAACAACAA